AATACCTATTACTTTCCTCTCTTACACCAGTTTTATCGAAAAAGGTTTGTACTAGAGATGACTTTTTTTTGCGTTTTGTTGTGAAAACCAATGATATTGCAGGGAGAGGAATCAAAAGTAGAATTCTACCTGAGAATTAGAGTGAATGTAGAAGAGAACTTTGAGCCTTGTCCGGCCACATTCATCTTTGTTGGACATTCTAATTGCAAATATCCCAAGAGGCATTAAGAAACCAATTGATACCCATAATAGAATTCCATGGAGTGTAATATCAAATGTCCTCGAATGACTCGCCTGCACAAGTAACCAAATTAAAGTTAGTTTAAGCCAGAAAGGTAATGGATTAAAATACATGAATAAATTACTCAATTGTGACACAGATATGGTGAGTTCGATCAAGTTTCAAAAACAATCCATCCACACGTAGGATAAGACATCATGCATCTGGTTCTCTCTTTCTAAAACTCCACAATAGCAGAACCTTATGTCTGCATGTTCAACAAAGATGAGGAGAGAGAGATAGAGACAGGTTACTTACCCTAGAAACATCTTGTTTGATGATTTTGTGAGTATTGGTTTGGTTCTGGTGATCAGCGTGGGATGAGCATCCACTGAAAGGTAAGAAAACAAGGAGAATAAAGCTTGCAGAAATGGTTGAAAGCAAGGTGTGCTGAAATATGTGCATTCTTTAGTCTGCAAGGAAAACCTTGGATGGTAGGAGAATTCCTCCATTAGGTTCTTCAACTACTAGCTTTAGTACATGGGGGGTTTATAAATTGATAGGGGTAATGCAAAATCAATCCATAGTCAATGAACCTATCAGTATAGTAGACTCTCTCTCTCTCTCCCCCTTTTGGATTTATAACCTTCTTTCTAAACAAAGTCCAGTCGTACTAACCAAGGATGGATCAAGAATTTAGCGAAGAGGGTAGCCTTTGAATTCAAGCAAATTATACTTTGACCTCCTAAATTATGTATCTTTTCTCACATTACCCCCTCAACTATTATGATTTTTGTATTACACCCTCATCTATGTGATTAGTTTCACGCAGCCCCACTTATTAGCATCCGTTGTCAAAAAAGAGAATAAAAAGTGAATAATAATTGTATATTACTTTGGTATAATTTATTATAGGTTTATTAATAGTACAAGAGAGTAATATGAAGTTTCTTAATCTAACGACGTGGGACAAACCAATATACATTAACATCCTCTCTCAAACTCAAGGAGGCAAAGTAGAAATTAACTTTAGTTTGGAAACCAAATCATGAAATCGACCATTTGGATGTGTCTTGGTGAAGATGTCAACAGTCTGGTCAAATGAAGAAACAAAGACAAGATAGATTGTGCCTCGAACCATATGATGTCGCACAAAACAATAGTCAATCTCAATATGTTTGGTGTGATCATGAAAAACATCATTGTGAACAATCTATATTGCACCATGATTATTACAATAATAAATATTAGCACCAAAATAAGATACACCCAAATCCTCTAAGAGCCAATGAAGTCAAAGAAAATCTTGGATAATGTCAACAACAACGTGGTACTTTGCCTCTATACTAGAGCGAGAGATAACATACTGTTTCTTGCTGCGCCAAAAGATAAGAGAGTCGTCCAAAAAGAAATAGTAACAAGTGATAGAACAACGATTAGTAGGACCTCCTGCCTAGTTAGCATTAGAATTGATAATGAAGATCATTAAACATAGTACCCTCGATATATCATAGAATATGAAGAACAACATCATAATGGGTAAAACTAGGGGCAATCAAAAATTGGTTGACAAGATGAACAACATAGGCTTTATCCGGACGAGAAACAGTGAGACACACAAGACAGTCTACCAATTGGCGATAAAGAGTGGCATCAGTGAGAGGTGTGTCATCCAAGGGAGTAAGTCGAGCATTTTGCTCTTATAGGGTAGGTATAGTCTTGAAATCAGTGAGTCTAACACGAGTAAGAAAATCAGAGGCATACTTAGCCTGAGAGAGATAATACTCATTGGAGTTAGACAAGATCTCAAGGCCCAAGAAGTAGCTGAGAAAACCAATATCCTTCATCTCAAAGTGTGTCTTGAGAAAATGTTTGAGATCAGATATACCAAAAACATTATCCCTAGTGATAATCATATCATCCATATAGAGAAGAATTAGAGTAGTGCCACACTCAGATTTACGAACAAAGAGAGTCGTGTCAAAAGGGTTAAAAGAGAAACTAAAATCTCCAATGCTAGCTCTAAAATTTGCAAACCAAGCTCTAGGGGCTTGCTTGACGCCATAGAGTGCACAACGAAGTCAACAAACCTGATGTGGTGAATGAGGATACCCAAGAGGAGTGTAAAACCCAGGAAAATTAAAATTTTGACTAAAATAAACGCGATCAGATTTTATTTGCGGGACTAGAAAAATGATTTAAAGTTAGTTTAGTAAAAATACACTAAACTTAACATTGGAATGAAATTTAATTGATTCAGAATAAAATTTGACCAATCAAAGTGAGACGTGTGGGCATTGTGAGCCAAGCATCTAAGGAGTATTTAAAGGGGGGAAAAATCATATTTTCCCCCATTCTTTAGCCAAAAATTTTCAAGAGAGAGAGAGAGAATATCTCAAGTTCTCCCACCTTCCTTTCTTGATCCGCCAAGATACAACCATTGGATTACTTTGGGGCAAGAGTCAAAGTCTCTCTACACAACGAGAGCTACGTAGACATACTAAAGATCGTGATTTTCTCCAAAATCTCAAAGATGAGAATTTTGGAAAAAAGCTTGAAAGACTTGATTTGGAGTCTTTGGGGCTTCTACTACGCAGGCATATACTACAAGAGGTAGGGTTCCCTCTTATCTGAGTTTATTTCCAACTTAGGGTTGAGATATGAAATTGGTAGGGTGATAGAGATGAATTCTCATATATAGCACACACCTATTTAGCTAGAATATAGAAAATGAGTATGAGAATATGTTAAAACTAATTTTTGCATGATTTGAGTTTGATGAAATTGCTTGATTTGGATTTCATGAAGAAAGTATTGTTTGGGCATGCTATGTGTTTACATAATTTTGCCTACTAAGTGTTTTATAAAATGCTTAGAAATTCAAGTATGTTAATTGGATTGATGTCACATGTGTCATGCTTGGGAATGTTTGTGGAAAATGAATATGTTCATTATATGCCTTATGATATGATAAGCATGGTAATATGAATTGTGATTATATGATTTAATTGCATATGCATAGATAACATCATATTCATGTGCATGCAACGTGAGTGGTGGAGTGTATGCATGTTTTTAATTAAACACCATCCTTGGTGGGTTATACATGGGCTGGAAAAAGTTGGACCTAGGTTCGACTGAGTCGTACGGGTTGCATTGAAAATACGTGTTGGGTATAGTAAGAATGGATAGATTCTCTCTAAGGTGCAAGGTCTGGTTACTTGGTTCACTCACTTGCCCTATGGTGAAATTCTGGAAAAGTGTGTTAATGTACTAAAAAACGGAGGTGTGATGCCCTCAAATGCCGTGTCGGTTTGGTAGACTGTTGGTGTGATGTCCATAAATGACCTACCCAAAAAAACACAAGATTTTATAAAATCGTCATTAAATGTCTAACATCAATGGTGGGGGCTTAGAATGTGTGGATGCATACGCATGACATAGTATGTGTTATGGGAGCCGGTGGGGCTCGGATTTACATTGCAGGTGTGAGTTTCCATCTCATGGCATGACATGGAAGTGTAACATTCATTTATGAAAAATTTGTGTTTGAATGATGCTCGATATGATGACTTGTATTAACATTTTATATGCATATGGATTGGGGAGTAGCCTCCTTAGTAGACACCCTATTGAACGTGGTACACCCTTTATAAGGATACATTTCAGGTGTTGAACAGGCTCTAGCAGACGGCCCTCATTTGGGCCTATGCTGATAACAGAGCCGGGTTGTGGCTGTTAAATTATATTTTGTAGTTCATTGTACATTTCTATTTTGGTATTGTATAAATTATGTACAAAACTTGTACTTTGACAAAGACATGTAACAGGGCACTCCTGAAAATTATTCTTTTGTAAACAAATGAATGTAATGGATGTTGTATGAGTTTATTGGGTTAAAAGTTGAAATTTGAGAATTATGGAGAAATCTAGGCTCTAAGTATCGGTACCTCACAGGTACCTAGCTTCTAGTGGGCTCAGGTACTGGTACCTATGCGCACAGGTACTGGTAACCTGATGACAGTGGACCCAAGTACTCGTACCAAGTCTTACAAGTACTAGTACTCCTTATCAGAGGTATCGGTATCTTTTCCTGAAAATTGAATTTTGAACTATAACACTTTTGAGCCTTCAAATCTAGAGCTCTTTTCTTTGGATGATATAATATCTAAATTTTAAGTTCTAGACTTTGGGATTTAGACCTTGAAATGGTTGTATGATTGATATATGTACAAGTTATGTATTAGGTAATGCTCCCGTGAAAAGGAGTCTTTGCTGAATTATGTTTTGTTATAATCCCGGTGAATGAGGTGCAATGATGTGATATCAGGTTATATGGTATCCATAGGTAATCTGCGGGTTGATGGGTAACTAACGGGTTGAGAAAAGAGTCCTGAATTTTGAGGTGTCATAGCTTGGTATCAGAACTTAAGGTTCTCGATTATCTTGGAGTACTTGAGGGTAAATTGGGTTAGGCCATTACATTACATGTTATGTGCATTAAATGCTACATGTCGTGTGATATGAGATTATATGCATGATTAAACGTGTATAGGAATGAGACACTAGGGTTGAAAAACATAACCTTGGGATCGAAAAAAGGAAAGAATGGGTTGGGCATCTACTGGTAGGGGGTATACCTCCTACCAGTGAGACAAGAGGAAACTTTTTAACATTTTAACTTTGATCCCTAAATTTAGGATACTAAATTAGTGGTTTATTGCTATCTTACGTGTGTGTAGATGGCAAATGAGGAAGAGGACATCGCAATGGCCAAGGGGATCGAAAGAACAACCAACCACCACCACTGACCTTTAACCAACAAGTCTTCATGGAGGTTATAGGTGCAATGGTGGCCACTTTTGCACAAACTAGTGCCAACATAGGCCATAGAGGCTTGAACAACCTCCATAAGTGTAAGGCACATAAACCACCAAATTTTATAGTAGGCGGATCCGATGGTAGCTGATCATTGGTTCCAACAAGCAGACAAGATCTTTGAAGCTATGAAGATCACGTCCGATGCCACTAAGATAAGGCTAACAACGTTCCAACTTGAGGGAGAGGCCCATCTATGGTGTAATTGGGCAAAGGCCTCAAAGAATATTAGGGCAATGATTTGGGAAGAGTTTTGTGAGCTCTTCATGGGCAAGTACTTCCCGTCGACTCTTCGGCAAGTGAAAGCTCAGGAATTTCTAGACCTAAATCAAGGAACAATGACAGCGATGCAATACGTGGTGAAGTTCATCGAGCTAGCCTATTTTGTCGATGATTATGTGACCACTGACTTAGCCAAATTGAGGAGATTTGAAGACAGCTTGAAGTTGTCCATCCGAGGACAAGACCTATAAATGATGGTCGAGACAATCATGGCCATTAAGAGAGAGGTCGAAGATGCTAAGAGTAATCAGGAGGCTAGTGCCAAGGATAAGAAGAGTGAGGGTCAATCCTCTTTTACTAGTTTGGGGAAGAAGCAAAGGACATCTACCCAACAAGGGTCTTAGGGACAAGG